CCCCTAACCTTCACCTGCCAACGACATATCCTTACCTTCTGGCTTAAACCTGCCAGCGAAATATCCTCACCACCGCAAATAAAACTGTCATATAACGGCTTTGGTGAATCAGTTCGGTTCTGTCAACTAATTTCCTGAAAATCAAATTACGGACTGCGCCCGTTAAAACACGTTTGTGCAACATCCCTTGCAAGAAACGGGACGAAGTTCACACGCGCGCGTCGTCGCGCGCGCATGCCTGAATCCTAAACAAACCTGATGTGTCACAAGGATTCCAAAACCGAGGGTCACGAATACATCTACAAACATATGGTTTTCCAACAAGGATCTCAATAACAAGAGAATACCTCGCGCTGGCGCTCTTGTAGGTTTTCCGGTATAAAGAAAACATGGTTTTCAACGTGTCCATAGAAAGTGCTGCCCAAACGGGGCCCTCGCGTGCGCATGTCAAAATCGTTCGAACGCTCTTGAGCGCGTGCTGTCGCAAGTTCTTTTCTCTTCAAAAAGTGAGACGCAATGCGCGCGCGTCGTCGCGCGCGAATGCCGAAGCCCGTCAAATACTTTAGGTTTCGTAAAAAATTCAACAACGAGTCCCCCGAACACATATGAAGACATATGGTTTTGCAACACCAGTTTTCCCCGAATAACCAAAAAAACAAACAAGCTTGCGCGCGCGCTCGCGCGAACCCTTGAGACAACCATCGTTTTTTTCCACATTGTCATGAAAACCTGCCAAGCGGGCCTTTCGCGCCGCATGTCGAACACAGCCGAACGCCCTCGCGCCCGCGCTGGCGGGGAGGGGGGGGGCGCGACGCGCGTCGAACAATGCCGCGCGGGCCAATCGCGCGCATCAGCCGCGCGCGCGTGTCGAAGTTTTTCCAAAACCTTCATCGCGGACGCGAAGACATCGTCATCGTCATCGGCGGGCGCGATCAACATCGGCGCCGTCGTTGGCCGTGCCGTCGTCATCGCCACCATCGTCACCAACATCGCTGTTCTCATCATCGCGTCCGCTGTCGGTGTCGCCATGATAACACACCCGCCTAAGTCGCCGACTCGCACTGACATGCCCGGTGGGAAGCGCCCAGCGGTCAGCGCCACTGCGGCCGCGCCAGTCGCGCCGCGCTAGCTGGCCGCTGCGCGCGCGAACATGCGCGGCTGCAGAGATGCAACAGCCTACGCCAAGCACTCATCGCGATCTCGGTCGCATGGGTCTTACAAACCAAATTGCGGGCGGGCGGGCGGGATGATTGCAAGAGCAATGAAATTGACAACTCAGCGCAAACATTCGTGAGTTGCTCCACGTCAGTTGCACCGCGTTGATTGCGCCGCATGGCATGCTAGAACACACTGTTAGGTGCCCAGGCTGGCTTGCATTGTTCTTGTCGTTTTCCACGAAACAGTGCTCGCACTCAAGGGTTCTCCCTTGTCTTCCAAGGAACTGGGCCTGCGGGCCGCTCTGGCCGCCATGCGGCCGCCGTCGCCGCCTCGTCGCCGCCCGTCGCCCGTGCTTGCGGGCTGCTCTGCTGGCCGCCACGTGGACGCCGTCGCCGCTTCGCCGCCGCCCACCGCCTCGTCGCCGCCCGCTTTGCACTGCTTCGCATTGCTTTTCATTGCTTGGCATTGTTTTGAATTGCGTAGATTGCACCACGTGTGTTGCACTGCACCGGTTGCACCAAGTAGCACTTCTCTTCTGAGGAAATAGACCCCCTCCCTCCACGCCCCGCCACGGTCGCGCATTGCGTTTTCATGTCTACTATGCGCCCTCGTCCAGTCGAAATATAAACTCACATTATCCCGGCTAAACCAGCATCGCCCCCCCCCTCACACTCTGCAGCAAAATGCAATGCGCGCTGCTTTCAAGAACCCTTGCGGAAAATGAAACGAAGTGCGCGCCCGCGCGCCGTCGCGCGCGCATGCCGAAATCCTTCAAAAACATCGATGTAAGTAAGGCTTCCAAAACCGAGTACCCCGAAACACACACACACACACACACAAAACAAACACATTGCATCGCAACGATGATTTTCAAAAGAAGCTCGCGCTCACAAAAGGCTTGCGCCCGCGCCCTTACGAATTCTCAAGACAACAATAGGTTTCACGGGCCTCGCTCGCGAGTGCTATCGCAAGAATCCCCAGCCAAAAATAAACGGGGCGAAATGCACGCGCGCGCGCCGTCGCGCGCGCGTGCCGAAATCCTTCTCAAACCTGGGATTCTGTGGGGATTTCAAAATCGAGTGTCCCGAAAACAGGGTTCATCTAAATTTTGTGTATATAGACACATATGTATACAGAGATGGTTTTGCAACGTCCACGATCAAACAACCGACAAAAAGACTGCGTTCGCGCTCGTGCGAGTTCGCAATAAAACCAATGGCGCTGCAACATGTTCATGGAAATTATGCCAAAAAAGGGCCTCGCGCGCCGCGCGTCGGAATCACTCGGACGTTTTTTTCCGCGCGCTCTGGGGGGGGGGGGATCCGCGTCAGATGGTACCACGCGGGCCACTCTCGCGCGTCGGCCACGCGCGCGGGTCGAGCTCCCTCCACAACCGTCATCGCCGACGCGAAGACATCGTCATCGTTATCGGCGGGCGCGATCAACATCGGCGCCGTCGTTGGCCTTGCCGTCGTCGTCGCCGCCATCGTCACCAGCATCGCTGTTTCCATCGTCGCGTCCACCGTCGTCGACGTGGCCATGATAACGCGCCCGCCCATCTCGCCGACTCGCACTGAAGTGCGCGCGATCCCTGTCCGATAGACTCGCGTGGGCTACTCGCGCGCGGCGGCGGCGCGCGCGTGCCGAATTCCTTCCAAGACGTTCATCACCGACGGGCGGGCGCCATCATCGTCATCGGAGTCACCGGCATCGGCGCCGTCATTGGCCGTGCCGTCATCATCGTCACCGTCGTCACCCGCATGGCTACTATCATCCTCGTTTTTGCCGTTGTCGGCGTCGCCATGATACCGCGCCCACCCGAGTCTCCGACTCACGCTGAAGCGCCCGCGCGTCAGCGCGGCCTGCGAGACGCGCCGGAGAGCCCCCAGCGGTCAGCGCCACCGCGGCCGCGTCGGTCGCGCCAGACTAGCCGGAGGCTCTGCGCGCAGGCCTGCGCGCTTGCAAGGCCGTGGCGATGCGCCTGCCAGTGCCAAGCACTCATCGCAATCGCCACCGCACGTATTTTGCAGACCACGGTCCGGGTGGGCGGGTAGGATGATTGCGCGAGCAATGGAATCGACAACTTCAAATCCAGCAGGACAAAATCTCTGTTCTAGATAATAGCAAACTCAAAATCACCCCCCCGTTCCCCATAATCAATGGAACCCTCTTTCGTGTTGTAATGTACATGCGGTTCTGCCCCATCGTCCATTCTTACTATGAACCCACGCCATCTCAGCCAGGCCGGCCCCCCCCTTATCCTCTGCCAAAACAATATGCGCGCGCACTCGTTCACCAAACACCCTCATATTTCAAGAATCCCTTGCAAACAAAAAACGACGTGTACGCGCGCGTCGTCGCGCGCGCATGCCGAAATCAGTCAAAACCTGGGGTTCCTTGAGGATGTCAAGATCGAGTGTCCCGAACAAATATAAAAGCACATGGCCTCGCAACAAGATTTGGAACAAAAGCTGCGCTCGCGATCTTGCAGATTCTTAGGAACACCGCAGGCTTTCAACGTGTTCATCACATGCTACCAAGAGTCGCGCGCGCATGTCGAAAACGCTCGTGCGCCCTTGCGCGCGTGCTGTCGCAAGAATCCCTTGCAAAAGCAAAAGCGAAGCGCACGCGCGCACACGCGCGCGCCGTCGCAAATGCATGCGGTAATCCTTCAAAAATCTGGGTTTCCGTAAGGATTTCAAAACAGGGTGTCCCGAACACACAATAAAACACACGATTTGGAACATCAGTCTTCGAAAACGCCTGCGCCCCTGCGAAGCCTTAGGAACACCATCGGGTTTCAACCTGTTCAATACATTCGGCTACCCGAGCCTCTCGCTTCGCATGTCGACATCATTCGAAAGCCTTTGCGCTCGTGCTGGGGGGGGGCGCGATCCGTGTCAAATAATAGCACGAGGGCCACTCTCGGGCGTCGGCTGCGCGCGCATGTCGAACTGCTTCATTCCAAAACCTTCATCACCGACATTAGGACGCCGTCATCGTCGTCGGCGTGATCAGCATCGGCGCCGTCACTGGCCTTGCCGTCGTCGTTGTCATCATTGTCACCAGCACCGCTACTACCATCATCGCGTCTACCGTCGTCGACGGTGCCATGCTACCGCGCCCGCCCAACTCGCCGAGTCGCACTGAAGTGCCCGCTGAGAAGCGCCCCGCTGTCAGCGCAACCGCGGCCGCGTCGGTCGCGCCAAACTAGCTGGCCGCCTCGCGCGCGTGCATGCGCGGGCTAACACGGCCGCCGAGATGCACCAGCCAACGCCAAGCACACATCACAATCGCTGCCGCATGGGTTTTGCAAACCGAGTTGCGGGCGGGTGGGTGGGATGGTTGCGCGAGCAGTGGAGGTGACAACTCTCTGCGAACGGAAATGACTTGCACCACCACGCTGATCGCGGCACATCGCTTGCGACACACCGTATCGCATGCTAGAGCTCACTGCTTGGGGCCCGCGCTGGCTAACTTCATCATCAGCATCAGCATCATCAGTATCACTAGTATTAGTAGTAGTAATAACAGTAGTACTATTATAAGTGCTATTGTTATTAGTACTGTCATCATTATTTCCACAATCATCATTATTAGTATTAGTAGTATTAGTATATTATTAACATCACCATCAGGGTTATAATCATTACTATTATGATTATTATTATCGTGTCCGTTTCCTCCTCCTCCTCCTCCAGCGGTACTTATTCCATCTTATTCCTCGTCCTCGTCACCATCCTCCTATTCCTCCTCCTCCTCCTTCTCCACCTCCTCCTCCTCCTCCTCCTCCTCCTCCTCCTACTCCTCCTCACACTCCACACCCTCCTCGGCAGCAGCTCCTTCGCCAGAGCTGCGTCCTCGTGCGTCACCACGGGCAGCGCTGGGTGCGGGAGGCCCGAGGGCACCTTCGCAGCACACGTCTGGCAGTGAGGGGGGGGGGATGTTCGAGGACCGGCGCGATGAATCTTCTAGGGTTTGGGGGTCTTTGTTGGGCCAGGGAGTTTCTTCTGAAGAGGAGGAGGCGGATGATGATGATGATGATGATGATGATGATGATGATGATGATGATGATGATGATGATGATGATGATGATGATGAGGAGGAGGAGGAGGAGGAGGAGGAGGAGGAGGAGGAGGGGGTAAAGGCAGCCCCATACACACACATCTTCTCGAGAACGGTTGGTATATGATACCAAGAGCATGGACATTTTGACCGAGACAGATTCCCTGAGGGGGCCGGATGAGTGCGTCCTCCTCCTCCTCCTCCTTTTCCTCCTCCTCCTCCTCCTCCTCCTCCCCTGCGCGCGCGCTCCCGCGCGGGCACCGCTCCCACGGTGGTGATGTTCAGATCTTTTGCGTAGGAGTGGCAGAAGGCGGCCGTCAATATCAGGGCGATCAGCTCCTTGAACTCGCCCACCGGCTTCAGCACAACCCTCTTGATCTTTCTCATTCGCCTGCTGGCAGTATCCTCTCCGACGCGTTCTCGCACGTCCTCGTTTTTGTACTTGGGCACGTAGCGAATGAACAGGAAGGCGGCGATGCTGATGCCCACCGTCCCCGGGTTCACGAGCTCCAGATTCGAGAATATGGCGCGCAAGCCCTCGATGCGCTCGGGCATGCCAAGGGCGGGAACCAGCTGCGAGCGGATGATGAGCAGGGCGCTCCCGGTCACGAAGCCACTGAGGGCGGGCCTCGACAGGAACCTGACCAGGAAGGAGAGCCGCAGGACGGCCATGATGGTCAATATTATGCCAACCTCAGCGGTGAAGATCGCGCCAGCACGCGTGCGCGTCTCCTCATCGCCCACGGGCTTCAGCTGTTCCCCCGTCAGGAGACTCACCAGGCCGCCTGTGCCGACTGAAGCGTGGATGCAGGTCCCGAACGCAGCGTACAGCAGGGGAGGCACGATGCAGCTGTAGGGCCCGTGGATCAGGTGCACCCCGCAAAGGTCGGCGTGGGCCAGGGACTGCGCGATGAGGATGCATCCTCAGGAGGGCGCGAGAGCACGCGAGCGACGAAAAGCAGCGGGCCCTGCGCGAGGTGACATGGCGACCCTGCGCCGCGGCCAGTACGGACGGCCAGCGTAGCACGACACACTGGAGGAGAAAACGCTTACTTGGCACGCCCGAAATGGGTACGGAAAACATGGGGATACGACGCAGAACAGCAAATGTTGTCCAAAACCGAGAGCGGCCGCTGTTGGCCAGGCGGCCTTCGGTCTCAAATGGGCAACGTCCGCTGCGACACCGCTGACAGCGAGTCCCGTTCAAAGCAAACAAGAAATTCTGTCGGTGTTCGTTTCCGTTCTTTCCGTACCCATTTGTCGCCGCGCCGTTTGCCCTCGACGCGCCCAAGAGGACGGCGCAGGCACCACGGCAAACCCAAGGCAAACCCCGCGCCCGCCGCCCCATGTCGACGAGGCTGGCGCCGCGGCAAGCCCACGGCGAGCCCACCGCGCCCGAGGCGGCGTCTGCGCTGGTGGCCGAAGCGCCTTCCCCAAGACGGGAGGCCCCGCGTCGGGACAGACAGCGCGGCGACGTGCTCGTGCGGACCTGCGCGCGGCCCTGCGCGGCAGGCCTGCGCGCGGACGCCCGCGCAGCCGGCCCCGCGTCCTCCCCTCGCTCGCGTGGTCCTGGGCCTCGCACTTCCCTGGGCGGCTTCTCCGCTGGCGCCAGCTCCCCTCCCCGCACCCCCCCCCTCCCCCTGGCGCGCCCCAGAGGAGAAGCCGCCCGCGCACGCCCAGGGACACCTGTGCTCACGGCAGGCAGGTGCGCTAGGGCACTCTGCTGTGACAGCCCCCGGGGGCACGCTTTTCTCGTCCAACCTGCGCCTCGCAACCCGCTCCACGCGCCAAGCTTCTGGGCGGGTCCCCGGGGCCGTCAGGGAACAACTCTCAATGGGGCACCTGCTGGCAGGCCGGTTTTTCATTGGAAGTGACTGGCGTATGGGCTTCTCTGGCCTCCAAATCCTAGCGTCAGCGAGCCGAACACGTCCTGCAGGCCGTTCTGGCTCCAGTTGTAAGCCGGCAGCCAGACAGTGATAGGAAGCCACCTGCCGAGCCGCTCCCAATGCTGCCAACGCGGTGAAGGCAAGGATTAGAACAAGGATGATGTCGAGAGGAGGAGTCCCTGCTGAGGAGCAGGAGGACATGGAAGCGGAGGGGAAAGGGAGGGAGGAAAGGGATGATGATGATGATGATGATGATGATGATGATGATGATGATGATGATGATGATGCTGATGCTGCTGACGATGATGGTGCGGATGGAGATTCTGAGGATATGCTGCGTATGCTGCAGATTATGATGATGACGACGATGATGATGGCGATGGTGATCCTGATTATGATAATGATGATCATGCTGACGATGGTGGTGGTAATGATCATGCCAGTAAGATTAGTCTGATGATGATAATGGTGATCACAATGATCATAATGATGACGATGATGGTGATGATGATGATGCCCAGGATGATGATGACAATGATGATGAAGATCCTGATGATGCGAATGCTGCTGCTGCTGGCGACGACGATGATGATGATGATGATGCTGCTGATGATGATGATGTGATGCTGGGGGTGCAAAGGAGAATACCGAGACGGACAAGGAGGAATGAATGGGAGGGGGGGAGGAGGCGAATCTGGACGAGGGCGACGACGCGGAGGCGCCGAACGCAGAGGATGGGAAGGTTGTTCATCCGCCTAAGCTGTCTCCTGGCTGGTGCGGCAGTGATCGGTGAAACCCAGAATTCTGCTGGGGGCTGGGGGAAGTGGCCAGCTCCGTCGTCGTGGGTCGTCGTCGTCGTCGTCGTCGTCGTCGTCGTCATCGTCAATCGTCGGTCGTCGTCGTCGTCGTCGTCGTCGTCGTCGTCGTCGGTCGGTCGGTCGGTCGGTCGGTCGGTGGGTCGGTCGTCGTCGGTCGGTCGTTGTCGGTCGGCCAATCGGCGTCGGTCGTCGTCGGTCGTCGGTCGTCGGTAGTCGGTCGTCGGTCTAGACAGTCGTCGGTCGGTCGGTCGGTCGGTCGGTCGGTCGGTCGGTCGCCGTCGTCGTCGTCGTCAGTCGGCAGTCATCGGTCACGGGTCGCCGGTCGTCGGTCGTCGGTCATCGGCCATCGGTCGTCGGTCGGTCTGTCGGTCGCCAGGTCGGTCGGTCGGTCGATGTCGTCGTCGTCGTCGTCGGTCGTCGGTCGTCGTTCGTCGGTCGATCGGTCGGTCAGTCGGCCAGTGAGTCCGTAGTAGTCGTCGGTCGTCGGTCGTCGGCCGTCGGTCGTTGGTCGTCGGTCGTCGGTCGGTCGGTCAGTCGGTCGGTAGGTCGACGTCGCCTGTCGTCGATCGTCGGTCGCCGGTCAGTCGGTCGGTCGGTCGGTCGGTCATCATCATCGTCCTCGTCGTCGGTCGTCCTCGTCGTCGGCCGTCGGTCGTCGGTCGTCGGTCGTTCCGCCGTCGGTCGGTCGGTGGGTCGTCGTCGCGTCGTCGGTCGTCGGTGTTCGGTCGGACTGTCGGTCGGTCCGTCAGTCGTCGTCGCCGCCATCGACGTCGTCGTCGTCGTCGGCATTCGTGGTCTGTCGTCGGTCCTCCGTCGTCGGTCTTCGGTCGTCGGTCGTCAGTCGGTCGGTGGGTCGGTCGGTCGGTCGGTCGTCGGTCGGTCCGTCGTCGTCGTCGTCGTCGTCGGTCGTCGGTCGTCGGTCGTCGGTCGTCGGTCGTCGGTCGTCGGTCGGTCGGTCGGTCGTCGGTCGTCGGTCGGTCGGTCGGTCGGCCGTCGTCAGTCATCGTCGGTCGTCGGTTCTCGGCCTTCGGTCGTCGGTCGACGGTCGACGGTCGTCGGTCGTCGGTCGTCGGTCGGTCGGTCGGTCGGTCGGTCGGTCAGTCGGTCGTCGTCGTCGTCGGTCGTCGGTCGCCGGTCGTCGGTCGTCTGTCGTCGGTCGTCGGTGGGTCGATCGGTCGGTCGATCGGTCGGTCGGTCGATCGACGGTCGGTCGTCGTCGTCGTCGTCGTCGTCGTCGGTCGTCGGTCGTCGGTCGGTTGGTCGGTCGTTGGTCGTCGGTCGTCGGTCGTCGTCGGTCGGTCGGTCGGTCGTCGTCTGTCGTCGGTGGTCGGTCGTCGTCGTCGTCGTCGTCGACGTCGGCGTCGGCGTCGGCGTCGTTGTCGTCGTCGGTCGTCGGTCGTCGGTCGTCGGTCGCTGGTCGTCGGTCGTTGGTCGTCGTCGTCGGCCGTCGGTCGTCGGTTGTTCGTTTGGTCGGAAGGCGGTCGGTCGTCGGTCTGTCGGTCGTCGGTCGTCGGTCGTCGGTCGGTCGGTCGGTTGGTCGAGCGGTCGGTCGTCCTCGTCGTCGTTCCGTCGTTCGTCGGTCGTCGGTCCGTCGGGCCGTCGTCGGTCGGTCGGTCGAACGGTCGGTCGGTCGTCAGTTGTCTGTGATCAGTCGTCGGTCGTCGGTCGTTCGGTCGGTCGGTGGTGTTTTTCGTCGGTCGTCGATTGACCTGTGGGTCTTCGTTCGGTCGGTCGGTCGGTCGTCGCTCGTCCGTCGTCCGTCGTCGGTCGTCGTCGGCCGTCGGTCGTCCGGTGGTCAGTCGTTCGGTTGTCGGTCGGTCGTCGGTCGTCGGTCGTCGGTCGGTCGGTCGGTCTGTCGGTCGGTCAATCGGTCGGTCGTCTTCGTCGTCGTCCGTCGGTCCGTCCGTCAATCATCGGTCGTCCCGGGTCGGTCGGTCGGTCGGTTGGACGAGCGGTCGGTCGGTCGTCGTCGTCGTTCGTCGTTCGTCGGTCGGTCGGTCGTCGGTCGGTCGATCGGTCGGTCGGTCGGACGTCGTCGTCGTCGTCGGTCGTCGTCATCGGTCGTCGGTCGTCGGTCGTCGGTCGGTCGTCGGTCCTCGGTCGACGGTCGTCGGTTTTCGCTCGTCGGTCGGTTGGTCGTCGGTCAGTCGGTCGGTCGGTTGGTCGGTCGGTGGGTCGACGTCGTCGATCGTCGGTCGTCGGTCGGTCGGTCGTCGGTCGGTCGTCGGTCGTCGGTCGACGGTCGACGGTCGTCGGTTTTCGCTCGTCGGTCGGTCGGTCGTCGGTCAGTCGGTCCGTCGGTCGGTCGGTTGTCGTCGTCGTCGTCGGTCGTCGGTCGTCGGTCGGTTGGTCGGTCGTCGGTCGTCGGTCGTCGGTCGGTCGGTCGGTCGGTCGGTCGGTCGTCGTCTGTCGTCGGTGGTCGGTCGTCGTCGTCGTCGTCGGTCGTCGGTCGTCGGTCAGTCGATCGTCGGTCCGTCGGTCGGTCGGTCGTCGTCGTCGATCGTCGGTCGTCGGTCGTCGGTCGTTGGTCGCTGGTCGTCGGTCGTCGGTCGCCGGTCGGTCGGTCGGTCGGTCGGTCGTGGTCTTCGTCGTCGTCGGACGGTCGTCGTCGTCGTCAGTCGTCGGTCGTCGGTCGGTCGGTCGGTCGGTCGTCGTCGGTGGTCGGTCGTCGGCCGTCGGTCGTCGGTCGTCGGTCGTCGGTCGGTCGGTCGGTCGGTCGGTCGGTCGGTCGGTCGGTCGTCGGTCGTCGTCGGTCGGTCGTCGTCGTCGGTCGTCGTCGTCGGTCGTCGGTCGTCGGTCGTCGGTCGGTCGTCGGTCGTCTGTCGTCGTCGGTCGTCGGTCAGTCGGTCGGTCGGTCGGTCGGTCGTCGGTCGTCGGTCGTCGGTCGTCGGTCGTCGGTCGTCGGCCGTCGGTCGTCGGTCGTCGGTCGTCGTCGGTCGGTGAGTCGGTCGGTCGATTGGTCGGTCTGTGGTCGTCGTCGTCGTCGTCAGTCGTCGGTCCTCGGTCGTCTGTCGCTGGTCGTCGGCCGTCGGTCGTCGGTCGTCGGCCGTCAGTCGTCGGTGGTCGGTCGTCGGTCGGTCGGTCAGTCGGTCGGTCGATCGGTCGGTCGGTGGGTTGGTCCGTCCTCGTCGTCGTCGTCATCGCCGTCGCGACCAGTGGGCGACGAACCACTCCTCCTGGCCACGTTTCGTGTGCCTGCGCCGCAAGACGCGGCGCAGCTCTCTGCCTTGCTCGGGCCCGCCTCGCCGCCAGCCCGCCACGCAGCAACTGGGACAACACCTCTCGACTCCGGTGGGCTTTGATGTAGGCGGAGGGGGAGGAGGGGGGAATGGAGGAAAAAGGAGGAGGGGGAGGACTGACTGACTGACTGCCTGACTGACTGACTGACTGACTGACGCGTCCTAACACGGCAAGATCCCCGAACTGGACTAGAATCAAATCAAATCCAACGGCTCGTGCGACCCTTACCAGACACGGACGTGAATTCGCGACAGCATGTCTCCAACTGAAGCCCACAAGGTCTTGGGGTCACGGGTGGGCTGAGGGTTGAACCTTGTCGTCCACCCTGCCTGGTCCCACCTGTTTACACGACCCCGAGACGACCTCGGAGGGGGAGGAGGATAAGGAGGAGGACGAGGAGGGAGGAGGAGGAGGAGGAGGACGAGGATGACGACGAGGAGGAGGAGGAGGAGGAGGACAACGGCGAAGACGAGGCAACCTGCCGACCCGCTGCCGCAGACTCTGCTGGGGCCTCGTCTCCCTGCGCTCGTCATCCGGAGAATCCCGCGAGAGGAGGCGCTGCCTCATCGGGCTCGCCGCGGCGGAGGAGGGGGGAAAAGGAGGGAGAGGGCCGGGGGCAGGACGACGGAGGAGGAGGGCGGAAGAGGGGCGGAGGAAGATGGGGCGAGAGGGGGGGCGGATGGGGCAGGTTCGCCAGATCGAACGCGTCAGCGGGCCCTGCCCATGTCCACCACACCCGCGCAGCACAGGAACTGCGCGTGGCACGACTGAACTTGGGGACTGGAGCGCGGTCCCACCCGGCGACCGGCAAGCGTTCACGCGCGGTCCCGCTTCCGACGACTCGGCCACATGACACCTGCGCGGGCCGCGCGGGGTGGCGGGGGCGGAACTTCAGGAAATCCTTGCGCGACGCAGCGCGAGGAGCACAATGCAGCCCTCTCTCGGGCGGCGAGCTCGGCTAAAAAACGAAGCGTGCGCCGCGCAGCAACGGCACTGGCCAGCTTCACCCTCACCCTGCGCGGCGGCCGGGCGAGGCCAGCAGCACTTCGCTGCCGATGCCATTGCGATTCGGGGCCGCACGCGACGCGCCCGCACGGGGACGCCACTTCCAAGCGAAAGGCGCGGGGGGCTCGGACGTGGGCGGCGAGTCGCCCGCTCGCGCGGAGCCGCCAGAACTGGGCGAGTGAAGAAGGCGCGCCGCGCCGGGGAAGGAGGACCACTTTCTGGCGAAGCCTGCGCGGCGTCTAGGCGAGAGCGACATTTTCGTCCGCTCGCGCGAGGTATGCGCCCCACCCCCTTCCTGGCAGGCATTCTGCAACGTCGACGCCAACACGTCAACGCTGAAAGGGAAAACGTCAACGCTGAAATGGTCACGTAGACGTTGCATGGTTGGAAAAGCAAGACACGAGGGCCCGAGCGGTCTTGCTTTCTCCTAGCACGCGCGTGACTGCATAGGTGGGCCCGGCGTATAGGGGCGATTTTGGGGGGCTACACATGGCGGCGACGCTTGGGGGCGACGCTTTGGGGTCGACACATGTCTACACATGGGGGCTGCGCATGGGGATTGCATATAGGGGGCTGCACATGAGGGCGACACATGGGGGCTACACATGGGGGCGACACATGGCGGCGACGCTTGGAGGCAACACATGCGGCCCAGGCTTCGCCCGTGCCGCCGCCCCCCTCTCTCACTTATCTGCCGATGCGGGGTGCGATGTATATTTACTGCATGCTGCACCATGTAGATTGCACCACGGAGCTTGCACCAGCGATGCATCGTATCCAGAGTGCACTAACTCACTGTCTGCGGTCCGCGCTGGCAAACGTTGTAAGGAGGTGGACAAGGAGGAGGAGGAGAAGGAGGAGGAGGAGGAGGTGGAGGACGTGGAGGAGGTGGACGAGGAGGAGGAGGAGGAGGAGGAGGTGGACGAGGAGGACGAGGAGGAGGAAGGAGGAGGAGGAGGAGGAGGATGAGGAGGAGGAGAAGAGGAGGAGGAGGGGAGGAGGAGGAGGAGGAGGAAGGGGGGAGGGAAGAGGCCGAGGAGGACGAGGAGGGCGAGGAGAAGCAGAAGGAGGGCGGGAGCGGAGCCGGGAGGGGGAGGCGTGCCGCGGCGTCCCAGCGAAGGGCCCAGGCCGCGCCTGCCGGCTCGAGCCGGCAGGGGCGCGAGCGACGGTGCAGCGCCGCCCTCCCTGCAGGGAGAGCCGCCGGCCCTCCCCGCTCCGCCGCCCCCCTCGTCTCCCTCGTCTCCTCCTCCCCTCCTCCTCCTCCCTCCTCCTCCTCTCCTCCTCCCCTCCTCCTTCCCCTCCTCCTCCTCCTCCTCCCTCCTCCCCCCTCCTCCCCTTCTCCCCCTCCTCCCCCCTCCCCCCCCCCTCCTCCCCCCCTCCCTCCTCCTCTCCCTCCCCCCTCCTCCCCCTCCCCCCCTCCTCCCCTCCCTCCCCCCTCCTCCCCCTCCTCCGCCTCCTCCCTCCCTCCTCCTTCCTCCCCCTCCCTCCTCCTCCCTCCTATCCTCCTCCTCCTCCTCCTCCTCCTCCTCCTCCTCCGTCTCCCCGCCCTCCTCCCTCTTTCGACCGCATGCCGCCAGCGGGTCACCTCGCCGCCGCTGGGGCAGACACGGGGGAGCTTGATATGAAACACACACACACGCACGTATTCCCTGTCCTTCATTTCCCAATAACCCTGCGGAGCGGGTCCTCGCTTTGAAGAGACAGCGCCCCGCGTCATTATTCTCCTCCCCGTCGTCTCCCCTCCCTCCTCCCATCCTTGCTTCTGCCCTCCGTATGCTCATGTTCCGTCACACCCCATCTCGATGATCGCGGCCCCATAGGGAACTCCACCGAAGGCCCAGTTGGCTGCGTTCGCATCGCGGCAACGCGCCAATGTCCGCACACCACTCATGGGGATCGTGGCGCCATCGGGAGCTCCACCGGCGGCCTCAATGGCTGCGTTCACATGGCGGCACCGTACCATTTCCGGCACACTCCTCACACGCTCCGTGGCCCCGTAGGGAGCTCTACCGAAAGGCGCTGGCCGCGTTCGCATGGCGGCGGCGCATGTCCATTTTGGCACACCAGTCACGAGGACCGTAGACCCTTAGGGAGCTCCACCGAAAACCCTAGTCGCAACATTCGCATGGCGGCACCGCGCCCATTTCGGCACACCCCTCACGGGCATCGTGGCCTCATGGGGAGCCCCAGTGGCTGGGTTCGCATGGCGGCACAGCGCCAATTTCGGTACACCCCTCACGGGGATCGTGGCCCCGTAGGGAACTCCACCGAAGCCAGTGCCCCCAACGCGGCAACCACAATTGCATATGGTGGGCCCTTCGTCAGGATAATTTTGCAATCTGGGGGGACCTGCTCTTTCTCAAGCCAGGCCGTTTGGATGCTCGGTCCCCAACGACCGTCTGGACGCCCTTGCAGAGGGTCCCTTGGGATTTTCGCACCTCCTGGATGCCCCTGCCTGGCCTGGCAAACAGAACCACCAGACACTCGATGACGACGACCCAAGCAACACCCCGCCAATAGGCCCTGCAAGCGCAAAACGAATATCCAGGCGAAGGACCCAACCATATACGTATATTGCTATTCATATATCTTAAGAAGGCTGGTGACGCTGGAAAAAAAACGCCACCCCCCCCAACGAATTTGGCCCTCCCTGGGCCTCCGGACAATCCTTCAGACGACCCGGGTGAACCTCACGAGAGCCCGAAGACGGCCCCAGACAGGTTCCAGGCGTTCCGGCGCGCTCTCGAAACAGCCCCAGAAAGTCCCAATACGGTCCACGACGACCCCCAAGAAGACGCCATATCCCCCAAAATCGCTCCAAAACGTCCCAAGAGGCCTCCAAAAGCACCCCCAAGAAGGTCCCAAGAGGCACAAATCACTGATTTTCTGCTGATTTTTGGTGGATTTGGTTGGGGGTTCTCCTGTTTTCAGCTTCCTGACGCTCCAAGACGGTGGTCTTCTGGGCGTCCGAAGCCGCCTGGGAGGCCCCAAAATCGCCCCGCAACCATCCGAAAGGGCCTCCAGGCAGTCCAAGAGAGCCCCAAAAGGCACATCAGGGATCCAAGATGGCCCCAAGAGAGCCCCATGGCGGCCCAAACTGGCCCCAAGACGCCCTCCGAATCACTCCAAATTGTGACCCGGTCGTTCAGGGAGACCGCGGTTGGAGGCCCGAGGAAGCCCCCATAGGCCCCCAGAACACGCCCAGGAGGCCTCCAGAAGGCATTAAGAAAGCCTGAGCAACTTTTCTGAGGCCCCCAGAGGCTCTCCAAGAAGGAGCCTCCGCAAAAAGAGCTGAGGAGGATGAGGAGGATGCGCAGGGTATTGCGAAAATGAGGAAAACATGGATGAAGGATAGCACATAAAATTATGATAACGGCGATGCCGGAAAAGGCAAGAAAGAGTTGTCGCTAAATTGTCGGCTTGACTTTCCTGCCATTCCGCCTGCATAAAGCTTCGAGGTCCAAGGTGCATGGCGCGAAGCGCCACTGCAGTCTTGTATACACACGCACACACATATATATATATATATATATATATATATATATATATATATGTATGGGAGCCCCCCCCCTCTGAGATCTACCTCAACCACCTTTTTTCGATAACGTGCTCTCCAGCCGCTGATGGGAGAGCGAGATGGCGGGAGAAGTGGAAATTCGGGAGGAGTGGGAAGGCGGGAGAGCGGGAGAGCGGGAGAGCGGGAGAGCGGGAGAGCGGGAGAGCGGGAGAGCGGGAGAGCGGGAGAGCGGGAGAGCGGGAGAGCGGGAGAGCGGGAGAGCGGGAGAGCGGGAGAGCGGGAGAGCGGGAGAGCGGGAGAGCGGGAGAGCGGGAGAGCGGGAGAGCGGGAGAGCGGGAGAGCGGGAGAGCGGGAGAGCGGGAGAGCGGGAGAGCGGGAGAGCGGGAGAGCGGGAGAGCGGGAGAGCGGGAGAGCGGGAGGGCGGGAGAGAGCGGGAGGGCGGGAAGCGGGAAGAGCGGGAGAGCGGGAGAGCGGGAGAGCGGAGAGGGAGAGCGGGAGGCGTGCGGGCGGGAGAGCGGGAGAGCGGGAGAGCGGGAGAGCGGGAGAGCGGGAGAGAGCGGGAGAGCGGGAGAGCGGGAGAGCGGGAGAGCGGGAGAGCGGAGAGCGGGAGAGCGGGAGAGGGAGAGCGGGAAGACGGGAAGCGGGAGTGCGGGAGAGCGGTGGAGAGCGGGAGAGCGGGAGAGCGGGAGCGGGAGACCGCGGGAGGGCGGGAGGGCGGGGAGGCGGGAGAGCGGGAGAGCGGGAGAGCGGGAAGAGGAGAGCGCACCGCCCCGGCCGCCCCGGCTGCCCCCCGGCACCCCTGCTCTCCCGCTCTCCCGCTCTCCCGCTGTCCCGCACCCGCTCTCCCGCTCTCCCGCTCTCCCGCTCTCCCGCCCTCCCGCTCTCCCCTCTCCCGCTCTCCCGCTCTCCCGCTCTCACCGCTCCCGCTCTCCCGCTCTCCCGCTCTCCCGCTCTCCCTCACTCCGCTCTCCCGCTCTCCCGCTCTCCCGCTCTCCCGCTCTCCCGCTCTCCCGCTCTCCCGCCCTCCCGCCCCCGCTCTCCCGCT